TGGAAGATGGCACAGTAAGAGAACTGGAGAACTGAAAGTAGTTCAATGTGGCTGGATGATAGTGTGCCAGGGATGGGGTGGGAGACATGAGGCAACCAGGAAAACGGGGTGCATATCCTGAGGGGCCTTGAAGGTTGGGGACCTGTGTTTTTCGTGGTATCTCTATCTGGCTGTTAGCATGAGTATAAATCAGAAGGTTAGGCATGGCAGCAGATGTACCTGTTAAAGAGTTTTGCAGTAACCTACATGCAAAATGAAGTGCCAGCAATTGTGATGGAGGGAGAGGAGGATTCAGACTCTGTATGTGGCAAGTGATGGCGAAGGAGGCATGAAGGATGAAACCCAGGATTTTAGAATTAGCAACTGTGGGAACTGTGATTCCATTCCTTTGAGATTATATATATCAGAGGAAGCACATGTTCTAGGCAGAGATGGTGAGTCTCGGCATTTGAGCTGGAGGTGGTGGGATAGCCAATGGAGATGGTAGAGTTAATGGAGCCAGGAATGGAACCTAGCTCTCCTTGGAGCTAAAATCTATGCTATTCTCTCTAATTTACATAAGTGAATATTCTCACTGAAACCAGAAGGGAGAGAGAGAGTTGGAAGAGCTGTCTAACAGTGGCCAATGATGCGAAACGAACTCCTTTGCATTTGACTATTGGGAGGTCATTCATAACCTCGGTGGCAGCTGTTTAATTGGAATATTGGGGATAGGTTGCAGGAGACAGAGGTGATGTAGGAGCAGTAAGCAAGGCAGACTCTTCTTTTCAGTAAGCATGACCAGGAAGACAAGGGGCAAGATATGGCTGAGAGTGTGAGAAGGTTCTTTTAAAAGTGAGAAGAGCTGGCTGGATGTGGTGGCTTGTGCCTCTAATCCCAGCACTTTGGGAGGCTGAGCCATGTGGATCACTAGGTCAGTTGATCGAGACCGTCCCTAGCCAACATGGTAAAACTGCCATCTCTACTAAAATTACAAAAATTAGCTGGACATGGTGGCACAAACCTGCAGGCCTAGCTACTTGGGGCGGGGCGGTGGGGGGGGGGGGTTGGGCAGTGAGGCAGGAGAATTGCTTGAACCTGGGAGGCAGAAGTTGCAGTGAGCCAAGATTGTGCCACTGGAGTCCAGCCTGGTGACAGAACAAGACTCTGTCTCAAAAAAATATAAAATAAAATAAAGTGAGAAGAGCTCAAGTATGTTTCTATGCTGAGGAAAAGGAGCTACATAGAGGAGTAGCTAGAGAGATTTGCTGCAGAGGGGACCCTGGACAAGGGAGGCCTAGGGAGTATTTGCTTGTGGCCTCACCTTTTATAGGAGGACAGTTCTCCCACTGATCATGTGGAAAAAAGGTAAATAGAGGTGTGGCTGCTAATAAGTTTATGGGGCAGGGGAGGATGACAGAAGAAGCCAGGCATGGACTTGCCTGATGGCTTCTGTTGTGTGTGTGTGTGTATGTGTGTGTGTCCCACTAGAGTGCTAAGGAAGTGGATTGATGGGGCTTAAGGAAGTGGTGAAATTGGGAGCAGGTGTTGTAGGGGACCCACTGAAGGATTTGTGGGCAGGTGAGGTTGGGTGCTGTGACTGTGTGGGGGTACTGACCTGCATGGTTGTGTTATTTCCTTCACCCGTGCTCAAGACCTGGGTGCAGCAGCTGGGAATTCACATGTCTAGGGTTGGACTTCTGCTGCAGAGCAGGGGAAGGGGTATAGCTCAGTATTAGAGGCTGAGAGAATTGAGGTTGTTGGAAGGAAAGTGGTTTCAGTAATGAATCATAGTTCTAAATTGGTTAGGGGTGGTAGTGAGTCTAGGAAGCGTCTGGCAGATGTGAGAAAATGGAGGGCTGGAGAATCAGAAGTCTCAGTTTAGTAATAGTGAGTGAGTGAGAATAGTGAACACAGATAGAGAGCAGGTTGAGCAGTTTCACATTTTAGAAGAGGAGCAGACAGTGGGAAGGTACCATATGTTGGATGGACCTGAAGTCACCTGGATGCTCCAAGCTCTGGGATAGTGAGGGAGGCTGGGACCCAGGTGCTAGAGTGACTGATGGCTAGCAGGAGGTTGGGAGCTGATGGTGTTGAGGGAGGGGTGGAACGGTGGTTTGCCAGGATGGCATAGGCATCAAAGGAGTGGAAGTTTTTTAGGGAGGTGAAGGGCGCAGGTTGGAAATAGCAATAGGAATGAGCTTGAGGAGCACACTCTGCTGCTGGCCCTGTTTACTTCTAAAGAAAGTATGTGTGACAGCTTCCACTGAGAGGACTGGAGGAAACCAGGCCCTGCAGGGTAGCCTGGCTTCAGGTGGGACAAGGAGGTGAAGGCAGTGTTTTGTGGATCAGTGAGGAATGTTGGGGAATTTGTAATCAGCTGTCCCCTAGGGGATAGTGGGAGGACGGGTGGAGAAGATGAAGAGCCGGTGGTGGTGATACAACCATGGGAACAAAGCCATAGGACAGGTGACCAAAGCAGAAAGAGTTGGGAGCTCAGGGTCTCACGTTTCCAGGTGTTTCAGTGGCAGTACAGGTAGAGGCTCCAGGTGGTGCCTACATTTTGATGACCATGGGACAAACCAGTTTGAGCAAGCAGGGAAAAAGAAGAAAAATCCGCCTCACATAGAAGGTAGGAAGGGGAGTGGATGACTGAAAATAGAAGAGTGAGAACGCAGAGGCTTTAACACTTAGGAAAGACAGTTTCTGGATATTAGAAGGGCGAGATGAGTTGTGTTATATTTTGCCACATCTCATTTTCATCCATTAATTTCTCCTAAGATGTGCAAATTTAGGTACCTAAATTTGGCCTGCCTAAATCATTTTGCGTTTCACATTTTATACTTGGTATTTTCTGATGTGCCTCTCAGAGTACATTTAACTTTAGGTACTACATTTACATTATCCTAAGTGAACACTGATTTTTACCTTGAAAATTTCTACATGCTACTTCTGTGTGGAAACTTGGAGGCCAATTCTAGCAGGAGCTGGTGAGCACAGAGTCACCTTGATTATGGCTTAGCAGGTCACCTTGCTTCTGTAGGTCTCTGTTTGTGCAGTGTTTCTCCTTTGGTGATCCTGTTTAGCTTCAGCTGCCAGTAGAAATCCATATGTAAGACCAGAAATCCCAGTCCTTTTATATGTTCCTTCATTCCAGAACTGCTAGATAATTCGAGCAAGTGACACAGATACCTTAAAACTGTGCAGAGCAAACAATACTAGAAAATATGTATTTGGGCCAGGTGCAGTGGCTCACAGCTATAATCCCAGCACATTGGGAAGCCAAGGTGGACGGATCACAGGTTAGGAGTTTGAGACCAGCCTGACCAATATGGTGATACTTCGTTTCTGCTAAAAATACAAAAAAATTAACCAGTCTTGGTGGCACATGCCTATAATCCAAGCCACTCAGGAGGCTGAGGCAGGAGAATTGCTTGAACCTGGGAGGCAGAGGTTTCAGTGAGCCCAGATGGGTCCATTGCACTCTAGCTGGGGTGACAGAGTGAGGTTCTCTCTCTCTCAAAAAACAAAAACAAAAACAAAAAACTGTTCCTCTGTGTTTTTGTTTTTGTGTTTTTTTGTTTGTTTGTTTTCAGCTTTCCAGCCATCCAGCCCATCTCCTCTTCAGCCCCAGGGTCCAGCAAAGTCCAACAGCATCGTGACTGTCACTGGCATATCCCTGTGCCTGTTCATCATCATTGCCACCGTGCTCATCACGCTGTGGAGGAGGTTCGGCCGCCCCGCCAAGTGCAGCACCCCTGCTCGACGCAGCTCCCTCCACTCCCCCGGTTTCCGGAAGAACTCGGACGAGGAGAACATCTGCGAGCTGAGCGAGCAGCGCGGGAGCTTCTCAGATGGGGGAGACGGGCCCACGGGGAGTCCGGGGGACACGGGCATCCCTCTGACCTACAGGCGGAGCGGGCTGGGGCCTCCCGAGGACGATGCCTCTGGCAGCGAGAGCCTCCAGTCCAACGCCCAGAAGATAATCCCCCCTCTGTTCAGCTACCGCCTCGCCCAGCAGCAGTTAAAGGAGATGAAAAAGAAAGGTCTGACGGAAACCACGAAAGTGTACCACGTGTCTCAGAGTCCCCTGACAGACACTGCCATTGACGCGGCCGCCAGCGCCCCCTTAGACTTGGAAAGCCCAGAAGAAGCTGCAGCAAACAAGTTCCGGATCAAATCCCCATTTCTGGAGCAGCCTGCGGTCAGCGCTGGGGAAAGGCCTCCCTCCAGGCCGGATCTAAGTGTGACGCAGGCCAGTTGTGCCATAAGCCCCAGCCAGACTCTGATCCGCAAGTCACAGGCGAGGCACGTGGGCAGCAGAGGGGGCCCGTCCGAGAGGAGCCATGCCAGGAACGCGCATTTCAGGAGGACAGCGAGTTTCCATGAAACCAGGCAGGCCCGGCCGTTCCGAGAGAGGAGCATGTCCACTCTGACTCCACGGCAGACGCCCGCCTACAGCTCTAGGACGCGGACCTGGGAGCAGACAGACGACAGATCTAGGCCTCCGAGTCGAGACGCCCACCTGTTTCCTGAGAGGCTGGAGCATTCCCATGGGGCAGGTGGAACCGGTGGCCCATTAAGCCCTCTCCCTAAATGCTACACTTTGGGGCAGCCCTTGGGAAAACCAGACCTTGGGGATCGCCAGGCAGGATTAGTGGCAGGAACTGAGAGAACAGAGCCTCACAGAGCTCGTCGGGGACCGTCCCCCAGTCACAAGAGTATCTCAAGGAAACAGTCTTCTCCCATATCCCCCAAAGATAGCTACCAGAGGGTCAGTCCTCTGAGCCCTTCTCAGTGTTGGAAAGACAAGTGTCAAAGCTTCCCGGCTCACCCCGAGTTTGCCTTCTATGACAATACGTCATTTGGCCTCACTGAGGCTGAGCAGAGGATGCTGGACCTCCCAGGATATTTTGGGTCAAATGAAGAGGATGAAACCACAAGTACACTTAGCGTGGAGAAGCTGGTAATCTAGACTGAGAGTCTGCCTGAGCTTTACACAGCTGGGGTCTGCAACTCAAGTTCTGTAGACTTTTGTGTAACTATTTGTGCCATAGGACACAATGTGATGAAGTAGCACACACAGAGGACGACGTGTGTGTATGCATGTGTTTCAAGTCACAAGGAAGAAATTATTTATCTCGAGCTTTTCCTTTGTTATTCAATTTCTATTGGTTTATTACTAATAACAATGATAATAAAATGTAAACAAGAGCAAATGGGGCTTGGTCTGTCATACGTGGATATGAAAGATAATATGTGACTTTGGAGTAGGACATGCTCTGAACATTGCATTGGCAGTTTCCAACCTGAAGCAGAAATCTGGAACCTAAACTAAAAAGGGGTGGAGCAAAGTTAACTTGGTGTCATAACTGTGAACTGCAGTTTATGAAGTTATAAATACATTAAGAATTTGCCTCCTGGCTAGGAGCAGTGGCTCACGCCTGTAATCCCAGCAGTTTGGGATGCCGAGGCAGGTGGATTGCCTGAGCTCAGGAGTTCGAGACCAGCCTGGGGAACACGGTGAAACCTCATCTCTACTAAAATAATACAAAAAGTTATTCGGACCTGGCAGTGTGCACCTGTAGTCCCAGCTACTCGGGAGGCTGAGGCATGAGAATTGCTTGAATCCAGGAGGCAGAGATTGCAGTGAGCTGAGATTGTGCCACTGCACTCCAGCCTGGGAGACAGAGCAAGACTCTGTCTCAAAAAAAAAAAAAAAAAAAAAAAAAAGAAAAAGAAAAATAATTTGACTCTTACAAAGGCAGTATCAAATAGTTTTTGTATTTAGCTAAGTTAATTATGCCTGTTAGACTGCTGAGCTGCTTAGAAATGGTGATACCACAGATATTCCAGAAGAACTTTCAGATTAGAGTTGATTCCAGGTGATGTCACAAAATTATATGAATTAAGTCTGCTTTAAAGTGATAATGTAAGAAGCTGGTGGTTCAGGTAGTAGGTCAAGTGAAGATCCATCTGTTCTGAGCAAATAAACAGTAAACATTTTGGAAAGGAAAGTATTGTCTCCTGAGGAAATGGGCAGTAGATGCTGATCATGCCGCTACCTGGGACCAGGACGCTGATTATGTATTAATGGACCAAACTGGTAGCAGAGACCTCAGTGGGGGAATCGGTGCATGTATGTTCTTAAACATAACTTTGTCACGTTGTTCAGCAAATGCATTGACTAACGTTAGGAATACGAAAAGCAGGTAGACCAGTTTACAATTTTACAGTTTAAGCTTTTTAAATTAGAATGAGTTAAAGAAAGAAACAGAGGAAATACGCCTTTTTAGAAATTTAGAATCCCGTTTGTTTGTGTTTTCAGTCTGCTACACTTTACATACAAGACATCAGGTTCAGGGTTCAGGGAGAGTAACAGGATTGGCTAGGATATGCACTGATATATTATTCTAAATATGCTCTTCCCACCCTGTCGTCACAAACTTTACAAGTCTTTTTTTTTTTTTTAGACAGTCTCTCTGTCACTCAGGCTGGAGTTCAATGGTGCAATCTCAGCTCACTGCAACCTCTGCCTTCTGATTTCAAGCAAGTCTCGTGCCTCGGCCTCCTGAGAAGCTGCAATTACAGGCACCCACCACCAGTCTGACTAATTTTTGTATTTTTAGTAGAGACGGGATTTCGCTACGTTGGCCAGTCTGGTCTTGAACTCCTGAACTTAAGTCATCTGCCTGCCTTGGCCTCCCAAAGTGCTGGAATTACAGGCGTGAGCCACCACGACCGATACACAAGTCTTCTCTAATAGCAGAAACATCAGGAGAAAACTGGCCCTTTTTGTTTGCAGTAAGAGGCTATGAAGAGACACCTCTATTAGCTTTTCTCAATGGAAGGAAGCTTTCTGCTGCTTGATGAAATGTTGACTGGTCTTGCAATTTGCTTTGTTTGGCAGTAAGGGCTAAACAAAAGAACCTGGATGTTTTGTTCCTTTATTAGAAATCTGTTGGCCGCGCATGGTGGCTCACGCCTGTAATTCCACCACTTTGGGAGTCCGAGGTGGGTGGATCACAAGTGAAGAGATCGAGCCTATCCTGATCAACATGGTGAAACCCCGTCTCTACTAAAAATACAAAAATTAGCCGGGCATGGTGGTGCGTGCTTGTAGTCCCAGTTACTCGGGAGGCTGAGGTGGAAGAATCACTTGAACTGGGAGGCAGAGGTTGCAGTGAGCCAAGATTGATCCCTGCACTCCAGCCTGGTGTCAGAGCAAGACTCCATCTCAAAAAAAAAAAAAAAATCTGTCATTAGTTACCACATGGGCATTCTGCAATTTCATGTACTTCCTTTCAACCCTGGACTTTAATGACTTGTCTGTATCCCTTGACTAGCTGTACTTTCCTCCTGTTTCGTGGTGATCTAACTGTCACACCCACCCTGCCTTTTAGATTGTGTTTTCCTTCTTCCTTTTAGAGTTTTTCAGGATATCAGGATGACGGCCCGCTGGTGATGTTTCAGGGACCACCAGAGACAGTGGAATTCAATGGGAAAAATATCACAAATGCAAATACTATAATTTTAAATTTTTCTCTCATATTTATTGCATTGCCCCTTCATTTGTGTCTTTTTAATTGAAAATCAAAATATAAGTCCTTTTGGCAGTGTTTTAATATTAATCACCTTTAGGAATAGGAGGGGTAGATTATTCAGAGCTCTCTGACAGCTGGTTTTGCTGATGTCAGGAAGAGGAAACCAGACTTGTTAATCTTCATTTTCTTTGTCATACTAGAAAGCTTTGTTCTCTTTCCAGGTTCACAGGCCTGCATCCCAACCTTTGAGGACAAAGGGTACATGCTCACTTGTTCTACAGTGTCACACAGACCAAAACAGATATGGGAAAGGTAGAAAGTAGAGGAAAACACTTTGAACAGACAGAAAGATTTCCTGTTAAATTATGTTCTTCTCCATCATTTTTACACATCTAACACCAGCATCTAACATGTTCACTATCTACCTAGCCCAGTTTTCTGGAGCTGTAAGAATAAAATCTCTATATTTCAAAGTTAAGCTAATTTGGTCTCTGCCTCTGAGAAAAAGGAAGATGCCTCAAGCATTGCCTTTGGTGGGCATGTGGGAAACTTCATTAGAAATAATCTGATCTTCACCATTGTGTCCCTAGGTCCTAGCCCTAGTGGCTGCCATAGAGTAGGAGCTCAATAAAATTTGGTAAATAAATGACCAGCTATTGGAAAGCTTTCCAGAAACAGGGGAACACAAACTTCTATAAGAAATGAAAGGCATGCTGGCGTTAGATTGATCATCAGCGACAATGGAATAAAAATGGTTGAATAATAGCTTCCAAGTTCGGGAGGGGAAATGATTTTCAACTTGAGACACCTCTATCCAGTCAAATTACATGTGAGGGCAAAATAAAGACATTGTTACACATGCAAAGAATCAGAAAGCTTACCTTTCAGACACCTTTTCTTGAGGAGTTATTAGAGCATAGACTCCAGTAAAACAGCAAAGTTCCATGAGGAAGCCATGGGATTCGGGCTACAGCAGATGTGACCCAGAATGTCAGTTTTGTGGGTTACTAAGCCATCAGTTCATATCTGAGCAAGGATGGGGAATCCAAGAAACAAAGGTATTTCATGGAACACACAGTTGGAAGAACTTGAAGATATACTTCAGGCAAAGAAAATAAAAATAAGCACCTAGAAATTTTATTTTCTGAAAGACTCTACAAGAAAATCATGATACAAACGAATTAAGTTAAACTGAGTCATCAATGGGCTTTCAAAAGAAAAATATTCCAAGCAATAGAATGGGTAAGATGGCACAGATTTCTTCTTTCAACAAAATACTGGGCAAAGCCACAACTAAGTAAACCATGATTTTGAGAAACTGAGCAGCACAGAGTTGAGACATTGTGATCAAACCGAGGAAAATCAATCACAGCATACTACTTGGCTCTGCTGTGGACCAACATTTTCATAATGTTAATGCTGCTTATTGGTTATTGTCTATTAGAACCAACTTACAGAAGACTTAGGCAGAGCACGGTGGCTCATGCTGTAATCCCAGCTGAGGCAGGCAGATCACAAGGTCAAGAGATCGAGACCATCCTGGCAAACACGGTGAAATCCTGTCTCTACTAAAAATATAAAAATTAGCTGAGCATGGTGGCCTGCACCTGTAGTCCCAGCTAATTGGGAGGCTGAGGCAGGAGAATTGCTTGAACCTGGGAAGCAGAGGATGCAGTGAACTAAGTTCGCTCCATTGCACTCCAGCCTGGCGACAGAGCGAGACTCCATCTCAAAAAAAGAAAAAAAGACATTTATAGTTATGGAAGGGAATATAAATGTTATCTGTTATGGAAATGTGAGAGAGTACAGCTTTGAAAAGTTTTAAGGTAGAGGAGTTTGAGGCTGCAGTGAGCTATGATTGTACCAGATGTACTCCAGCCTGGGCAACAGAAGGAGGCCTCATTTCTAAAAAAGAAGTCTGGAGGTAGAAGCAGAGCTGGGGAGTTCAAGAGAAGTAGCAGTTCAAATCTCCTCCTATCATGAAATGGAGAGCCAAGAGGTGCTGTCTATATTTAATAGAACTAAAAACAAAAGTTTAAGGACATTAAAGTTACTGGTGTAAACAATAGGACTAAAAATTGTGCTGTAACACCCTGTGTTTTCGGGGGTGAATTAAGCTGACTTTGTATCAGTCCTTGCAAGAGTCAATAATGTCACAAAATAGCAGCTTACTCATATTCATACAGTTGAAGATCATCAGGAGAATTTCAAACCGCAGAGGTCAAAGCGATTGCCCTTTGAAAGTGGAACTGAGGCTGGGGAAATAAGAAGCAGGAACAATTGCAGGTCTTCCTCTACTTTTAACTTTTCTTTTTCACTTTGACAAAACAAAAACCAAACATAACAATCCCGGTGAGGGTCAGAGATCATCTATTTTAATGCCTGGAAATATAATCGGTGAGTCATCTTGTGGCTGTTAGGAGGAGGATTTGCTCCTAGTGTTATTGGATCTCCAGCCTCCCCCACGCCATTTTTTCCCTTCCTTGGGGATCCTAGATGGTTCATACCCGCAGCTGCCCCGCCCTGCTGACGGTTCTCTGGTCATTCCAGCTGCAGCCATCTCTCAGGGCCTGCGTCTTCTCAGGATGCCACCTCTGCTACCGGTGTGGGTGAGTGTGGCGCCCCCCTCCATCCTGCTATCAATGTTGACAGCGTCTCCCTCAACTGCTGCCAAA